GTAGTCAATCGCAACTACTCGGCCCTTTCCGTCAGTCTACGGATAAGTTATTATAGATAATAGCCGAGGCAGTTCCGAATGGGAACAAGTCTAATCAATACGTTTCCTGCTATAGAAGGAGAAAAATCGCTGTCGGACTTGGTGTCAAACATCGGCATCGTTTGTTGCACCTGTACTGCAATAGTCATATAATAGTATGGCTATTTTTTCTCTCACTTAGGTGTACTTCCGTGCATTATTTTTAACGAGCTGGCTCAGGAATAGAAACACCCCGAGTGGTGAGACGAACCTTGATAACTATTATATATAGCCAGCAAGCTAAGACAATAAGTTATTACCCTGACAAGTCGGTTATCATGCATACATTTCTTTCTTTCTTTCTTTTTCCTTGTCCAAGAATGGGTATAATCATATACACGTTGATACGCCCCTGTGTTGTGTTACTATTGTATAGAAAAGGCCGAGTGAGATGAAAGAAAACTTGTTCAAATAATATACTAGACGCCATTGATCAATATCGAATATGATACTTGTTATTAACTTTTATCTTCTTTTTGGAGTAAAAACTGTCTTTTCACGATCGCCGTCTTTGATAACGACTAGGTTAATGCATAAAAAAATGATAAATACTCTTTATTTACGATAGCTTGTAATTTCACAGTGTATTTAATTCATGTTCTGTGCAAGTTTGAATGTCAAAGGATGTCAGTTTATTTTTCAGTAAGTTTTAGTATTTTGTTTGAGAGACGTTTGGGAAGTCAAGGCGTGCAATAAAATGGGACACAACAATACCTCGTTTATCATTCTAGACCTGCATTTTTCAACATTTTCAAACATTTATTATCCTTTCATGTTGCAGGAAAATGCGTCCCGTTGTGTCACTGAAGGTCACTTAATTAAAATAGGAAAATGCGGTTTCATGTGTTTCCTTAAGCTGGGCAAATAGCAAAATGTCAAAAATTAATTTATTTATTGACCTGGCGGGTATTGCCGAGGATTTACGATTGGAGTCGGCAATGTTCGTTATTCAGAATTATATCGCATCTTCTCCGCCCTTTCCGTCAAACATCGGATAAAATTATTAAGAATAATAGTCAGGATTTTTCTATGGATGGGGCAATTAACCGACCAATCGCATCTTCTCGGTCATTTCCGTCAATGTTCGGAGAATAATTGATAACTGAATGCTCACCGATTACCGAAATTACCCGACGTTTGTCGAAAATAACCGAGAAGTTGCGATTGACTAATCTGTGAAAAGGAAACATTTTTCTTTTTATTCAAGCAACTTTTGTTATCAGATTAGTAAACACAGTATCAAGTAAGCCAATTTTGATAACTTGGCCAACTTTGACACCGTATCAAATCTTCAAACGGCTCGCATTCCATGGGACAAAAAAACATTCCACTGCGATAAACATTATCTAAATCTATGTGGAGAAAGAAAACAGAACACGGTGTTTTAAAAACCTACTACGTGGAATTTTGAAATGGTTAATAAAGTTATAACTCTTAATAATTGAATATATTGATGATGACTGAATAAATTGTTATTAAATTGAAAATTCTTTCGGGTTTTATGCTTTAACAAAAAATATCTAAGCCTACAACCTAAATAAATGGTCGTCGGGTCCCTCAAAAGTGATAAATGGTTTAGCCCAGTTTAAAAAACGGACAAGTCCATTTAAGATATATAGTTCGCTTGATGCCACTGAGATTTACCTCAAAACTGATACATGGTTTTGTCCAGCTGGAAAGACGGACAACTTGGAGATATATTACATGCCCTATTACGGAAGGACTGTGATTATTACAGCTCCAAAAACCATAACGACAGAGATATAGGCCAGAATGTTTGAACATAATTCACATCAACAATTCAAACAACGATTTCTTTTTCAATCAAGTTTCACTGTTGTAAAGACTAAGTCGGACTAAGCACGCGCAAAACACGTGCTCACAATTTTTTACATTCAAAAACTTTAGTCTCTTAAAAATGTTCTTCCAATTTCTTTCTGACTTGCCCCTGAATCCGTGTAATATGTAACGTATGAATGTAACTCCGTCAAGATTGATGGATGGTGTTAATTAAAGGAATCAATGGCTTACGTCATCGAATAAAAACATGACAATATTAGAATATCCAATACACTATCAGAAAATTGATCCATATTTATCAGACGGATAGATTTCCGATCCATATTGTGTGAAATCACACTATCGATTTTATAGCACACTTTAAATAACGGACTATAGTTTCTGTTTGTAGAATGACTAAGTGAAATATGGGCCTAGACAGAGGCGCTGTGACGCTGTCAGATTTCAAGCGCTTTAACGAATCCGATATTCAAATATTTCACTCCGCTCCTGTTTAAACCAAGATCAAAGTTAACAGTGTTTACTCTCTTACAATATGAAATCCAAACAGTAATTTTTAAGCAAACATTTATAAAATGATTACTATGTCTTTGATCAAAATACACGAAACTGTCCGGGTTGATTTTAAAAATCTCCTTTATTGCTACAAGATGGATTAAGGATGTGGCCCGTTTACTTTTTTCTAACAAAATATGTTTACTTGGTCTAATGAAGATCAGCCCTAGGTCAAGGCTTCCAATGAACAAAGTTTTTGTTATCATATACATATGTATTTAAAGCCTACCCAATGACAGTGTTGAACCAGCGATGATATTTGACATGATCGGTTGAAAGTATTTTTTTCCGAAATTTTTGTACCATTTGATGTAGGTCTAGACCAATAACTTGTGTGCAAATTTTCAGATCAATTCAATTCAATATTTATTTGGCATAAACATATACAATTCGTTCACTTCCTTTTTCCAGATTAAGTATTATAATTGTTAAATACGATCCAAAATTGAAAAGCGTTACAACGCTTAATTAAGGATTTGAGTAATAATATTACTCAAATCCATAATTACTCAAATCGAGCTTAACAGCACAAAAGTACGATTTTTATATATCTATTTTCCCAGTATATTATCTTTTGCATATCTTTCTGTTTCAAAGGTTAAGAGTTAAGGCTTAGAAATGACTCTATGAATAGAATCTTAATACTATTCAGACACCATCATTTATTTACATGTAATAAATTTATGAAGTTTCATTATTATATTGTGCAGGTACAACTTCACCGTACAAGTTTTATCAAGAAAACCCACATTCATATGGCTAATTTTGATACCAAAGTCTTATTTCTTAGACTGAAAATTGTAGATTACAATTATGCCAAGAAGATGGCATGTACACTTTATAAGAATGAACAACATAAATTTACACGTTTTGTTATATTAATTTGGGTTTACGTCACCAACGCGACGTTCCTTTTTTCACTGTTGGAGCAAGACCTCAGGTGCCCTTTCGGAAACGAACGGGCACCTAGATATATACATGTACAAAATAGGGACTGTCACTATGGGGGCACAAACAACAAAAACATTTTTAAGTTTCACATCTCTTTGCAATGTAATTTGTACAAAATGAACAAATAATCTTATGGGTTTTTTTATGCAATGGCATAAACAACAAAAACTTTGACAAGAACAATTTGAATGAAATAAAAACAAGTGCTTAAGAATGAACAACTTAAAGAAATTTCCATATGAATCTTTTCATCGCATATTACTAATACAAAATGTCATTCATTCAGGGCAAAAACTCGCCTGTAAATTGTATAAAACTGTAAAAACAAAACTAAAAAACAAACAAAAATTTTCATTTGCCCCTCTCACTCTCTTCACATTCACTCACTCTCTCCAAGAGTTTCAAAACTTGCCAACATAAAATCTGTTTCACATAAAATGAGGTAAAAAAAAACTGGTTGCTATGACAACAAAACATCAGATAAAGCAAAAAGATAGGGTGTTGTTATTTTTTTGTTACTGCTTTTACAGTGCACAGTGGAGAGGTTTGAAGTACCTTTCAGTAGACACGCTGATACTGATGAACATTATGCATAACAGATTTACAAAATATTTTCAATTTCAAGTCTTCTAAGAGGATAATAAAATTTGAAGATAAATTGCACAAAAACAAGACTTTTAAGCACACTTTATTCTGTTGTAGATAAGACTAGATTGTAGCAGTTCTTAAACAAGTTCTCAGACTTTTACAGCCTTTGGTATAATGAGAGAAATTCTGAATTTCAGTGGAGTAACAAAATCCAAATTTTTTTTTATTTAAAATACACTCTAAGTAATGGTGGATCTACTGTTAATTTACCGTAGAGTTCAATCTGGAATAGTGTTTACTTCAAAGTTTATCAGAAGTTTGACCCCCCCCCCCCCTTTAAACTTTATCATCTAAATTTTCTTACAAATGCCATGATGCAGACAAATTCCAAAATTTACTTATTTATTACAATGTAAGTGATGATAGATCTACTACTTATTTACTGTAGAGTTCAATCTGTTCAAGTTCATCAGAAGTCTGGATCTACCCACACCTGACCCCACCCCCCTTAAGCCCTATCATCTAAAAATTTCTTACAAATGCCATATTCAGCAAAAATTGCAGAAAAAAAGGCTGAGTCATAATACCAGCAGACATGGCGTAACACAAAGGCTTAAATTAAATTTTCTTATTAATTCTAGCAAAATAATAATCACTATAGTCTACAGTAATGTATAAATTAAACAAATAAAATGTACATGTATACAAAAAAACATAGGGAGTGTTACCAGACACTTTATATAAGAATTAAATTCATATCAAAAGTGATTTGCTTATTATTATTGTTGTTGTTGTGTGAAATATCATCTATGTAAATCATAATGTACAGAAAAGCTTATTTATATCAATGGGTTTTATTTATAATTTTTGAAAAAGGGCTTTGACTTCTTGAGTTGGGTCAAATACACAATTTATCTCCACCAATTGTTCATAAAAGAAGTCAATTAAGAAGTAACAAGTGCTTCAAGTGACAAGTGCTCCAAATCTTCACAAATTGTAAGCTGATATCAATTATTTCTTGTTTAATACCAGTCCGGAAATAAATTTAACCAATTATAACACCCATTAAGATACTCAAGTCTTTATATCACTTACAGTGACTATTGTATGACCCTACAGACTCTTTAAAGAAGACTTAAAGATCATCCGGTATAACTGAACAGTTCAGTTACTTATTATTCTTATATAATATTCAAACACATGGTCATTTCAGGGCGTAACATAAAACTTCGATAAAATGCACATTAAAAGTTCAATGGCACCACAGATAATTACATGTATTCCTTTCATTTTCTTTCTTTCAATTTGTGACATTTATCAAAAATATGTTTATGATGCAATCATTGCTTAAAACTATGATTAAAATCACATAATATAAATCTATATATATATATAAATATATACAATAATTTCAGACGGAAAAAAAAATCAAGTTTTTTGTAGCGCATTTCTATAAAAAAAAAGAATTACATTAAATAACCTATAAAATTTTATACAAAAAAAAGCTTTTTACTATATACATATATAAGAGTATATTTATCATACTGTTTATAACTTATGTAAACACATAAAATATTTGTTCATATCTGATTTTATAAAACCTTTCTTATCTGATTGCCACACTCCCACTTGAATTACAAATTTATGTGTATAAAACTATTGCAATATCAAGGCAGGTGATACTTGAAATAACAGAAAAACAACTACAAAATTGTTCATAATTTTGTCTGCTCTTTTTACTTAATATCCCATTTTGCAATAGTAAGAGATATTTACATAGTTATCAAATGACAATTTTTTTTCTAATAATGTAAGTCTACGGTTAATTAAAACTGTAAATAATACTTAAGCACCATTTTCAAAACATTGAAAAATTTACATTATTCTGAGATTATGGCCTAAGAATGGTCTATAAATGGAATAAGAAGCTGCTGCAAAAAATAAAATTATAAGCCCTCCTACGACCCCCCCCCCCCCCACACACGGGACTTTTTATTTATCGCAGAATATCCAGCTAATGTCCAATTAACCAAACTGTCTTATGTATTGATTCACAAAACATTAATTATAAAGATTCTGTTAAAAGTTATTCCTCAACTGTTTGAAACTAATCTGCTAAATACATGTACCAGTATTCATCCCCTTTTTGCTTCAAGTTTGACATAATTTATATTTCATGTGGGAGTCAACAATGTTTGACACACGTGCACATGTATGAAGGTTTTTTTTCCAATTCCACTTTATTACATAATATTTGTATATTTTAAGAATACTGATTCGTTTCACTTTTTCATTTTAAACACCCTTTATACTTGGCTGGTTGGGTTTAACATCGTACATTAGGTTGGTGCGACGTTTACCCCAACCAGCCAAGTATAAACACCCTTTAAAGTCAGTCAGTCAACAACTTAGAGCCTGGTCAGACTGTACGAATGTGCAGGCTGGCCTGGCTCTACACTGGTGACAATAACTTCTGTCACTTTGGGTTTCTGCACTATAGCGCAGGTTAGTATAAAAGTCATGATTTTCAAATCATTCCAATTTTTCATTATACAGTTTAACCATGCAGGCAAACCTGGCACATTTGTAAATTATTTCAATTCTAATTTCTTTCAATTTAAAAATCATGCATATATCAGCTATACAACCATGGGAATATAAAATCTTAATGGAAATAGTACACATTTCAAAATTCATGTGAATTCAGCTTTACATACATGTTCTTATGAACTCATTTCTTCTGCTCTTACATATATGTCCATTTGAAAACTGCTACTACACAGTCACTAGCAATTATAATACTATATAACTAAACATTCACATTTCATAGACAAAACAAGCTCACAAACAAGTCTTATAAATACATACTTTCCATTCATCCATGAAAAAAAAGTATTATTGCTAAAAAAAAAACCAACACTTTTAACACAGTTCAATATACATTAAAAAAAACATGTACAGGTATAATCTTCATAAATCAATCAGTTCAAAGGCAGACTACCCTATATCTGTCCGTCTGCTTAACACAAGTAATAAAATATGGAGAGATAAAGATCTTGTTTTCAATGAACAGTAACTAACATGTACACTAAACAATTACTCTGTAATCTGTTATATCACAACTCAATAAGAAGTATTTCAATTTAATGCAAGTTTGCAGATAAAATGTATTATTTTTCCTGTAATCATAATGCAAGAATGATGTCATCTTTAAAACCTATGTAAAGGACAATTGTATCTAGATAATTAACTCCCATTATTTGACAAAATATTTAAATTGTTGATTCAAAATTTTCAGCTTTAAAGCATGTATGCCTCCAGATTCATGCTGATTTTCATGAACATTTTTAAAATGATTTAAAAAGTAAAACATTGTGAAGTGAACAAAAAAATAATTTACACATTGCAAACAATTCTTACAATCTGTGTAGGAAATAAACTTTTACAATTTAACATTCAATTCACTTTATCTTTTAAAGATTTCCAAATATAAATTAATGTAAAAAAAATCAACTTTATTATACAAAAAGAAACTTTTATTTTTGTTTCACACAAGTTGAATGTCAACAAACCATAAATCTACATTATACAACTATTCTTTACACAGTCTTTCAGTATATATGTTAAAATTGTAAAAAAAAAATTGGTTTCACAATTTCTAATTGGACTTTAGGTCCTCACAAATTAATTTAAAGAAATCAAAAACAGTTATAAAATATTAAATATATTATCAAAGGGTATCATTTTAAAATCTTAAAAATACAAATCCTGCTTCAAGCTGACTTTATGTACAACAAATTTATCAGAAAAAAAATTATCGTTGCATCTTTATCGCACATTTGTCACCGACACAAGAACTGGATACCATAATGCACCAAATCTTATGTATTAGAAAAACATTAATAAGTACAGAATAGGCGAAACTGTGAATAACAAATTTGTCATTCGTGATAAATACAGAATATAAGTTTCAAAAGGAAAAGGGTTTAAGAAAATACCTATTTTTTCTCTCTCAAGTTATGGCACTATTAATTAACAATTCATACGATTATCAACTTCAACTCTGTATTCAAATACAGTCGTTAACATACCTTATGAAAAAGATCTCATAAATTTGATACGGATATTGTCATCTGTAAATAATGGGCCTATAATTTGATAATGACTGTATTGATAATTCGATACATCGCCCCTTTGATACAAAAAACAGATAAATGTATAGACGAAACAAGAGAAATAGAAAAATCTGTATCAATTTTCTATAAAAACGGGTTTTTAATTGATGATACTGCAGTTTCGAAATACTTTACTGGAGCCACCATGACTTTGACTTAAGGCTATTTATATTTTTCTTCCGCCATTAAATTCATACAACCGAATAAGTGAACCTTACATTGACGAAATTTTACAGCGACGTCAACCACATGCCTACGGTTAAAAAAATTTGTAATGGTTATTATGATAATGAAGTTTTATAACAGATTCTATTAGCATAATGCAACAACCTCATAGTGATAGTGTATGTTATAATTTATTCTTTAAGCCACGTCTTAATAGATTTTTAACCAAGCTTTTCTTTAGTGTAAAAACAAAATGTCGAAATTTTTTTTAATCAGACATTTCAATTAATTAACAACCAAAATATATTCAAGACATTTCACATTTAGCCTTTGAGGTAAACTGAGCAAAAAGAATAGAAATTCCACTAAAAAAAACCCCAAAATATTCCGTTTCCTTATACATAATAGTAGGACATTTAAAAGATTTTCTCAAATAAATCATTGTGTTTTTAAAATGATCACTGTTTACTGCAAGCTGTGGGGGATTAGGGGTAATTCTGAGGGAAAGGGGTGGTGTGTGGGGTTTATTCTGAGGGAAAGGGGGTTTGGGTGAGGGATTCAATTTGCACAGAATTATTCAGCAATTTAAAATAATTTGAACAAAAAGAATAAAATTTATAAAGTTGTCATAAAATATTACTGCATCATTCAATTACAAACACTACAAATAGTTTACACTGAGAGAGAAAATAATTACATTCCAACATTATACCAACCCAAACCCCAAGTACAGATCTATTGGAAATAATCATTCTCCGCAATGCGCAGTTTGGATACCGAATGAAGATTGTTTTGCCTATAACATGTTGTAAGCACTGTTGCTGGCTTCTCAAGAGGTAAAAACAATATGTTTTATTTATTTTCCACTCCTTGCAGTCTGGATGACTTTTGCTTATGATTCATGTTATATTCCAAAACCAATCCTCGGGCAGATTTTGTGAAGCTTCCTAGCTCAGCCATTAATTGTTTTTGCCTATAATGCGTTCTTGAATATGGAGTGTTATTGCAAAAATAATGTTTTTTTTTTATTCTTTAGTAAACCCCATGCGTTTTTTAAGTTCATAAAAGATGTAAAAGGACCCAATAAAGAAAAAAATATGGCCTCGTGCTTTTTTAAGTATTTTTGTAGTTCTGTTAATCAGTTATAATAAGATGTTTTAAAAGCAAAATATTGATTATCCCTTGTTTCCAGCAACATTAAAGTCTGGAAAGCTTTATATGTATGTGGCCTGCAGATCAGAATAAATTCTAAAATACCGGTATAAAAAAGAAATATGTTAAACATTTCCTTATCAGCAAAAGGTAGGTATGCCCAAAATAATGCTTCACGATTAAACCCAATCTTCAAATATCAGCAAATGCTGCATTATATTTTGTTTGGAACAGTCTTAATATTCTATTCATTCTTATTGACACAAAGTATAGTAGAAAAACTGACTTCACACTTTCAATTAAGTTAATTAATAAACCATTATAGTCAGAAAAGAATGTTACCAAGGCTCACACTTACAACTATTATTTCTAATGGCAGCAGATGCCACACTTTACCAATCATGTGTATATCACATTACAATCTATGGCAGTAGGCTTTTATATCCATTATATTCATCAATGAAAGCATACAAAAATCTGTACATGGGAACAAAAGGGGGTCCGACTCCCAACATTTCATATGTGAATTATAATTTGCCCCAGCCTGTTTACAAAAACTCATTCAACATTCTCTATATTAAACTTCAGATAGATTCAATAAACTGGAAAAATATATGTGTATATCCTATATGGTTGTCGAAAAATTCCTGTCCACATTAAAAATTCAATAGTAAAATGTCCAATAGTAAGTTGTTAGTCTCCCAAAATAACTCTTCTTTATGATCCACCCCAATAATTGAATAAAGACCCGAACATGATTCCAACATGGCGGAAGAAAGCACTGTTCTACCGTATGAATTGGCAGGATATATTAAAATGTTAGTCTCTTTAATGTGTATCAAAGATGTTGTAATGTTGGAAAACATTTCTTATTCAGTAATTAAAGCCAAGATATGCAATAATCAAAATTACACCACATAATTTTTTTAACATAGAAACTAGCCATACACATGTGTATGTTCTATTAGTAAATAAAATTATCAGCATTATTTTTAGAAAGATTTCGTCATGCATGGTTATACCATATATTCATAAAATAAAAAATTCTTACAAATTAACATGTACTTTGAATCAGTAAGTTAAAACCAAAATTTTTTTTTGAGTTGTAGCAAAAAATATCAATTTAAGAATAAAACATTCAGAAAAATCTGACATTTATAACTGTTTTAGCTTTTATCAAAATTGGTTTCAAAAATGTTGAATAAATTAACTCATTTTGTTTAGAGCACATCCTGTACTAGTTAACCTGTTATGTCTGCCATACGGCAGTAAAACAAAGATTATAAATTGTGCACTATTAACTGAATATTTATCTAATTTGGAAATTACCCAAAACACTGATAACATGTAGATTACAACTTAACATATATATGTAGAATTTATCAACATCACATGATTTTTTGGTTTGACACTTTTTTGTGACACCTTTGAACCATCCTTACTTCGTACACATAACAATGACGTTCTAAAATAATGAAATTTGAATGTTGACATAAAAGGTCTACCGAAATACTGATAAGAAATATCTGACATATATCAAATAACAATCTAATTTTACTGCTTCAGTGCTTTGTTATTGCTGATAAGGTTAAATGCCAGTGTTAAGTTTATACAGACATTCTACGGAAGAATTTGCACCCTTTGAAGAACGATTTCTTATACCTTACAACCTTGATTATAATTCAGTATATATAGTACATATATAATTAAAACAAGTCTAATACCACAGTGCAAATTCATTATATTACCGTATTTCAAGACCTTCAATATTTTCCATGAAGTATATACATGTATATCGTAATGAAAGTCCTATGAACACAAGTACAAATATTTTAATGTAAATTCTAAAATGTTGTGTTATAATATATAGTTAAGTATATACACTGGCCTTGTCTTCAACCTTTAATACACTTTCTTGTCTTTCCATCTTTCTCATTTACATTATTCGTCTCTCCCACAATTCTGCACAATTAATTGATACAGATTGTTTTAGTGATCCTTTTTCTTCAGTTGGAGCACTATTCTATGATCCTAATAGACTTACTAAGCAGATCTTTTGACTGACTATATATGTAGCAAGATACTGGATGCTTTACCAATTTGATTTTGTTCTTTGATGTGGACAGCATCTATTTATCATATAATTAAACACTATATATCGCACAAAACCACTTATTTTTGTGGCTCAACTTTATTTAAATTTTGTATTAAACACACTTTTCACACCTTTCACACGACTGCTTCATGGTTTTTAAGTGATCCAGGCTTAAAGATTGTGGCATAAAACCTTTGCCATGACTGCAAGGTCTTGCCAGTCCAGATCCAAACCCCGGAAGTAATTCCGACAATTACTGACATCAAATATTTTATCATAAAGACATTAAAGTCTGGCTTCAGTTGAGTGCTCTCCATCATCTGGCACAAGTATTGGTTACCCATCCAGACTTTACAGTGAGAATACCACCACGTACTCATCCAGGACATTCTGGAGGATTGTTCATAGAAGTAACACGCAATTACAATCGTGGCTGGCACAGTGTACAGTACAGAGAATATTCCTATACGTACCATCAATTTCTCAAGTTTATCAGTTCTTGTACCATCCGATTTCATTATAGTACGTATTTTGAACAAGGACACAAATCCTGCTAAAAGGAAAGATGTCCCAATGATTAAGTACACAACCAAGGGAGCTAATACAAATCCCCTAAGAGCATCTACGTCAGATATTCCTGTGAAACACACACCACTCAGAACATCACCATCTACTTGGCCCATGGCGAGAATGGCTATAGTCTTTATTGCAGGCACAGCCCAGGCTGCCAGATGGAAGTATTGGGAATTAGCTTCAATAGGCTCGTGACCCCATTTCATGCCTGCAGCTAAAAACCAGGTCAAGGTTAAGATCACCCACCAGATCGAGGAGGCCATGCTGAAGAAGTACAAAAGCATGAACAGAATGGTGCACCATTCCTTCTTGGTGCCCTGTGTTACTAATGGCACAGTTTCTTTCATTGTGGAACCATCTTTGGTTTTAAACACACTGCAGGCGTAGTCATCACGCAAGAAAAATCCTATAACGTATGCCAGGGCCACCATAAAGTAACAACCTGACAGGAAAATGATTGGTCTTTCGGGGTAACGAAACCGTGTCATATCTATCAAAAATGTCAACACTGTGAACATGGTCGAAGCAAGACACACGAAAGACCATATTCCAATCCAAAGTCGTGAAAATTCACGCTTATCCTCGCTAAAGAACATATCTTCACACGGAGCTCCACAATCTTCAACCAAAACTTCACCAATACGAAGTTTATAATCGTAACCTTCCAAAACCCTCTGATTTTCTGGGCATTCAAGCAGTTCGTTTCTGTAGTTAGGATTAATTGTAATACGCTCATCGTAACCACCTTGCCCTCCTCCGCCACTATTTCCACCTCCATTAGTTGGCTTCTTGGTCGTTTGTTGACCAGGCCGATAAGTTGTTGGGGGCTGTGGTTGATGGTCTGTTTTGTTTTCCCCGACACATAATCCCTCAGTTGGAAACTGATCACAATTAAGACTGGCTGGCCATTCAAAGCCGAATTTGTTCATCAATGTCTCACAACCAGTTCTTGCTTGTATGCACAAACTCCTGCATGGTGGAATAGCTTTGGGCAGGACTGTGCACACTGGCACATACATCGTACAAAGAAAGAACTTCAACTGTTTGCTACACTGTACCTTCACTAAGGGAAAGAACTGGTGAACCTGAAATTCAATTTAAGAAAAGCATTAATTAAGCTTGATATAAATTCATGATTTTTAAAATATTTTAGCTTAAATGATACCGATGTTGTTATTGAATGATTAAAAATATTCAGTGAAATCATAATTGATTGAGCTTAACCATTCAGTGATATTTTTTACTTGTATTAAATTTATCAGTGTGGGTCTTAGGACTCACTGTACTATAGATATAAATGTATGTCATGAGTCCGCAAAATTTAATACACAAGTCTAAGTTTCCATGACTGAATGATGATTGTTTTAATGATATGAAAGGTACATGCATGTACATAAGCAAGGAAAATGGAATCAAAATTAATTAGATTTCTATATCAATTACAATGCTACACTTGCAGAAGGTTGTATGGGTTTTACCTAGTGAACATTTGCATTCTGACATGACAAATAAAGCTTGTAAATGACAAATTAGGTCGTAATTATCTTTTTGTCCTATTTTTTTCGTATGATATCCAAATTATCAACTTGTTGTTCCATCATATTAGCACTCATAAATATTGTTAATTTGTAAATATTACTTATGTAAATGATGCACTTGCCAGTAGATATATTCACAAGGAAAATTGAATTAGCTAATTCTATAAATAACATTCTCATATGATTTGCCTTAGTATTGTTTAAAAAATTCTGGCTGTACTGGATTATTATCATATTTCTCTGAATATGATTCATCTGAAAGTATGTAATGTTTTGGAAAATTTCCTAACGATTTGTCATCAGGCTGGTCATACATAATATTACTAGAGAATATATTCCATTTAATTTGATATTCCAAACAAGCGCAACAAAAATAAATTGTTTACATATTGTCATTTGGTAGTGCTCAGTCCCCTATAAACAGTAAAACAACATAAAATATCAGCAAAATCTGTCATTAGATTGATATAACTTGAACACAATTAAGTATAAATTTATTACCACATTCTTGACAGACAGGACTCCATACTAAGAAAAAGCATGTGCCTAAAAAACAAACATTATTTGAAATTTTGAATCGAATTATAAAATTATCGCCACTGAAATTAAAGTAATGATAGAAAATGATGCCACGGTTCAGAACTGTTCACTATTTAGGGGAGAAGATGTGTAAGTGACTGGATAGCTCAGTCGATAGAGCCAAGGTACAGTAATGTATCTTGAGGGTCCCTGGTTCCAGTCCCTGTCGGGCTGCAGATTTTCTCATCCTGTGCCATTTGGCACCCAACAGGGGACTGTGTATGTATGTAGCTCATAGTTTAATTCAAATTGCTCTGTGTACTTAAAAAAAAAAACAGGGGAGTCTGTCAACAGTATATATAGAGCCCACAGGTCGAACACACATGCAAACAACTGGATTTTACATACATTTTAATGGTTTTATGCTCCACGAGTCGAACTCAGTCCTATGAGCCTGTATTTAAAGAAATATTCTACATGTAGACGATATTTTTAGAAGGTAATTCCTACCGGAAGTATTCTCCGGCTTCCGTTTCACATACATTGACATAGAGCGGAACAGGGAACCAAGCACGTGTTGCGGGAGAACACTTCCGATTTAGGAATTACCTTATACATGTAGAATTTTTCTTGTAATACGGGCACATAGGACTTAGTGCCACTCGTGGAGGATAAAACCATTTAAAAGTATGTAAAATCCAGTTGTTTGCATGTTTGTTCGACCCGTTTTATCTCTTTGTTGATGTATTTCAAGAGTAAATACCAGGTTATAATGTACATGTCATGACGGTCTCATCTTTCGGACCTGGGTGATTTCTTACTTTCGGGCTTTATAACATTAACTAGCGGTTAATTGGGAATCTGTAAATAGTAAATTGTAATAGAAAAATATATTGTGCATTGATTCCATGCAAAAATCCGACGATATTACCGCCCGGTGAAAAATTTTAACACAGATAACGGCGTACCATAAATTTTCGTACCTGAATGTTGCATACCTTGTCTATAATAATATAACAGTGAAATTTTTTTTTTTTTTTTTTTTTTTAATATATTGATATTTTATTGTATAAATAACAAGGTCAAACACATTTTAGGTCAAATCAATGCCACTAGCACCTGTGATAGAGCCATGCAACAGCATACATGTGAACTTTTTTCGATGATCAAGTGGGAGATGTTTCTTAGATTTAACAATTTGAAATAAACAAAGAAGGAAGTTCTGACATCAAAAGTAGGGAGATTTCTTTTATTTGAGAAAATACCCCTTATTTTCAGAAAAATCTTTGAAATATGGCTGCAGAAAGTGGGAGTCTCTGCTAATAGTGGGAGAGTTCACATGTATGTGCAACAGTATTCAGACTCGGAGGGTCCCGGATTCGAATCGCAGTCAGGCTGCACATTATTCTCACAGTCACCCTGTGACAGATAGAATTATGAATATGCATTGCCGTTCAGATCAGGATATCTGTACAGGTAAGGTACTGACCACGAGTGGCAATTCAACAAGTCTGGGGACTGCCCAAGGGATGAATACCCCTAGAAAATATGACAGATACAGTAGATCTATTAAAAGTTTAAAACTATTCATTTCCACAAAATAACAAAATTTAAGCAATAGAATTTCATCAGTTCATTCCAAATCTTGACAAATCATTTATTGCACTGTCAAAATGAAAACCAATCTGGGCCACAGTATTAGTAATACCACTTGAACTTGGTGTCATGCAAAATTCCCTAAAAATATGCAGAAATGGACACCACTAAAATAGACATGGACATGATTTTAACATAAAATTTGTTGAAATAATCACCTCCATGCCTGCGTCCTCTTGCTTCGTGTGAGTAAGAAGATTTGGCATAATCGTTTCATTGTACTGGATATCCTTGCACAAAGGTATCTGTATAGGTTCACACTTTCCGTGAGGTCCGAGATAATCGTTATTCAAAACTTTGGTACTGTACTCGGCACAATCACCAGTGAAAAACAACACGGCCGCAACCAAAAATCCAAAGAATTTTACACTCGCCATTTTTACAATATTCTATGATAAAATCAACCTTGTTTACTTTACTGTCATTTCTACGGGAAGACTTTCAACGATTTCCAACGAAATATAACTCTAAAACCTCTCACAAATTTTGAAAACAGACTTAAATTATAAGTAATCCATTTTCACAAATAATGAACATGGCCGTCTTTGTTCTATCTATTCAAACAGAGACAGTTTTTCGATCCCCTTGAGTAACATTCTCTCTATTAAAATAAGCATTTCATACTTTGGGGAGAGAGAAACGGTTATCTAGTAAAATGATTGCTTAATTCTGATTGGTTAATGGTGTTGAATTAACATAGAGGCTGTTACAAGTACCTCCTGCGATGTTACAGGGCACCTGGCATCCTAAATTTAATAGTATTTAATTGTGTTTCTATAGAAACACACGTGCTATAATTTGTTACATCGATAAATAGTAAGTATCAAACAAATTCTTGGTTGAATATATATTCAAAGTGACGTTCACAGCCCAGAATATCAAATATTTAGTTCAATTTCGATAATTTCGTTAGATCAGATTTAATTTTAAAACATAAAATAAATGTATTTATCAAAATGTTTAGTATTACCTAGCTTCTACTCCAATGTTATTTATTTATTTATTTAGTCACGAATATCTAGTAAAACAGAGGAATCCATGAATTATAACAAAGCGGACTGGACTAGTTTCTATCATTTTATAAATAAATGTGATTTAAGACATTTGACACTGAAACAACTAAACCAGTTCTACATGATTAACCAAATTATTACATGATTCTTGAATCTTTTTACTTTTCTTGGTTTGGCTCATCTGGGGGCATGCAGCTTTAAAAATATGAACCCCATGGTGGCACATCCTTTAAAATGTACGTTTTTGTTTGTTTTTGTTCTTTTAAGACACAAAACATTGAATTTAGCATTATTTTAGAGTAATATTTTGGGGAATTGTTGATCCCATCATAATGGATAACAATTTAAAATAATTATTAAATAACAACTGTAGACGCTTTACGTGACATTTCATCAAGTTAGATGGTTTTGTTGTCCAAAGTACCATATAAGATTACCGGTTTAACAAAGTTCGGTAATGCCACGTATTTAGAATAGTGCATATAACTTAACAAACAAAACAAAAAATACAAATCAATTAGCTCCCGATCCACCCACAATCAAAGGGAAGGTAATGCGCACAAATCATTGATTTGTCTTTTATGAGTTCTCTCCCTTAGATCGTGTAAGCTATATACTAAATCTGTCTCTCTTTCTAAATGGCGCTGAGTAGTTATGTTTGTCTATTGGTATTTTGTTATGGGTGATTGAACTGGTTGATGGATGATTGATTTTGTATGAAAGTAATTTTCAGCTGATTCTGTTCTGGGGGATGGCTTTAAATAGAATTTCAATGTAAACTTGTAAAGTCTGTACACATATATAATTTAGTCATAAAATTCTAGTAATAGAAGTCACTTTCATATTTATATCTCTATATGTATTATTTTCTTACAAGATGTTGTCTTATAATATCTGATTGTTATAATATAAGAGCGATTTGTATTATGTATTTTATGCAATGTATATGTATTTATATTGTAAGATATTTGTATTGTATTGTATTGTATTGTATTGTATTGTTACATTTAATTGTTATTTTTAGGCTTTATTCTTATAGAATAAATTTATGGGAAAAAACATCATTTGTTTATCTGTGAACACCATCTACTCATATTAAGTACAAGCTTTTAAAAGTTTTACTGAAAGTTTGTAATCTGCTTAAATAATCTACATGTACCTTTTTATGGTCATTGAGGACTTGAGGTAGTGTGGAGGTCGTAATAAATCGCCCCGTACATTTAATAATGATTTTCGATCATTGAAGGAGCTCGGCATTATTGTTATGTTTGCATGTTTGTGGCGTCGTTTTCTAGTCGGGTGGTTCCAGTATTCCTACCATACTGTTTAATCACCATTGGGATAGATATATAGCCTGCTTTAAATTATATTTTAATTTATATTTTGATGTCTAGTCTGTGCTATGCGGGCTTCATAACCTCCGATTCCCTTTTTAAGTAGTACCATTTCATTTAGTTCCAACATATTGTTTTCTCTTTAAAGGAACACACATTTTTTTGCCAGGGGACCATACGACGCTTTTCATGGCTATTCCAGGCTAATTCATATTATATGTACATATACAATCTCCAGATGCAATCTGCAATTTATACATGTGTGACCAATCAATTAATGATCCTTTAATTTAATTTTTTATGGTTTTATATAATAAATATAATGCTCAACTGAAGATTTATCAATATTGTATGTTCCAAAAAACATTATTTGTAAAGATATTACCTTATTTACATTCCATGTTAATAAAGGGGAGGTAATTAGAAATTTACTTTCCATAAAGTCTAAGTCAAATTTTTCAATAGGAATTGAATGAATTTACATGTACTAGTATTTAAATGATTACATATGATGTTGACAAATATTTGCAGTACTTATTTTACAATTTCTTCGATGTTTTAAAATTGTTTTAAAAGCATAACTATATACATAAATTATATAAAATTTCACTTAAGTGTGGTAACAACCACGATTACAACATACAGGATCTTTAATGATTTGTCAAAGACTATAAAAGATGTTGCTATAAAACACATGCACCTTGTAAGATATAAAAAAACACCCTAAAACTAAAGTTTTAATGGTGAAAGAAGGAGACATTATAAGTGCCCCATTCAGAGATTTATTTTAGAAGAATGTATATCCAAAGTTAACGGAAACTAAACATCAATAATTTGTTAGATGCTCCACATAGACAAATATATTATGCATTCTCATTGTATATCATTTACACTGCAAGTGTTCAATTTATTTTTTGTTTTTTATTCGTTTTCAAAAGATATCTTGGTTGTACATGTATTATATTTTTAAAAAATTATTTCATCATCAATCTGATCACAGTATCTCCAAAATAACGGTAAGCTTTAAACACAAGGATATCTAAACGTTAGTCAGACTGTTCATACAACTGTTTTATGACGTTTAGGTAACCAACGATCAAAACACTTGACCAAACACTTCTGTCAAATCGCATATGCTATAGACATTGTAATAGACATTGCGACAAAGACTCCAGAAGCAAGCCCTTTCACAACACTTGCTACCGACTCTTGATATTCACTTGCACAAATGCGAGCAGTTTCTTTATATAGTTTCCTTGGAATTGTTTCACCGTCAATACTTTGTGCTAACGTAACCTCACCTTTAGGTACAAATCTGAATTTGTTCAAAATAACATTCTTGACTTTAAAGAATATCGCCTTGAAACATCCAAAGAAGACGAACTCTTCAGGAAACAAGTCGACCTGGTCACAGAAAAATAACTCTGTGATGAAAAAGCCTTCATTCAGTTGAACACCATTTAGTTTTGGGACCACTGGAAACAGAAGGTTTTCGTAGTCTAGTTGAGTTAGATTTTTGACGCATGTTTCAATACTGGGAAAATATACCTCATTGAACGAGGCATTTAACCTATCGGATAAAATGGCGTCGGGTAAAACCGATTCATAGTCGATAAATTCGTTAAAACTTACTCTGAATGTATATGTTAAGTTCTCTACAACAATATGCCATATCCTTCCCAATACCCCTTTCACAGATTTATTTAGAAAATTTGGGTCAACGTGTGATGAAGGATACACAGCCTTCACGACTATGTATTCTACGAAATTTTGATTTATAGACAGATGATACAAGACACGAAAGTTCCAAAATTTCAATTGACCTCGCCTGATCCAACGTGCCAACCTATCATGTCTTTTACTTTCATCCATTCCCTCGAAAAACGAATATGGAATGAAAATACCATTTGCTACAGGTGTAAGCCTCAACATAACAGCAAACGGACCACCTATCCATTGACTTGAAAAATACCCTCAACGGTTGTTAACGAAAATCTGTCCCATCTTACACTGAAATGGTCGGCACTCATTCTGCAAATATGACCATATTGAATTAGAATATAATTATAATATAGAGAATAATGATTCAGAATAATATAACTAATTAAAAAAAGAAAAGTTTCAGGTAGTTTATGCATGCTAACATCCTTGCCCTTAGAAAAAAAATCTACATTCAGATATTAATGTGTATAAAGTTTAGAATAATGTCACATCCGCATTATTTTATAGACGCCAGTAATCATAAGTGTGACTCCATGAAAAAAAGGTTTTGAGAAATAATATTGAATTTTAAAGTAGATCAAAGGTAGTAAAGTCTACCAGATCCATCACAGAGAGCTGACAAACAACAAAATTATAACACGGGAAACATACCCTAGGGTTATTTTACAGTTTTCATGAAACAACCCGTTGAAAAGAAAGTGCCCATAGCATCTCTTAAGCCTTTACTTGCATGGTTTGACAAAATATTCTTCATATTAAAAATATTATAGTTTAAAGTACTAACCTTAAACGGTGAATTACGTACAGTATCTCTGGAACAAAATTGTCTTTCATGATCATGTCTCGAGTATTTTGATTCATCAGTATCTTTGTAATTTAAAACAATTGCTAAAGACGCAATTTGAAATGCGTTCTTGACTACAGTGGCTTGAGTTTCACATTGTATTTCTTTGCCTTTAAAAGTCATGACATTTACGTTACACATGAAACAGTAAACGTTTGCATACGCTTTTAAAAATCGCAAATTTTGAAAGATATATGTTGCATTGAACTTTTCGCAAAAATCCCAAAACGGTTTCCGTGTTTTCATTAAACCAGTAGTGTTACATTTCCTTACTACATCTGGAAAACAGATGACCTCATCTAAATTTACTTCATGCGGTGGTATATGATACAAAAGACACCAATTTTCTTTTTCTGAAACATTTTTACTAAAGTTTGGCATGTATGGGTTCTTAAGATGTTCACAAGCAATGCTGCTCTGCCACGGTATTGTCTCGAAGTCCCCGTTACAATGTGCGTATTGTACGTTACTATAAATTTTTCCTGTAGAAGCCGAATACACTGGGGCGAATCCTGCTGAACTTCCTTGCAAGTCGTCACAGACTTTTTCGTTGTTTCGTTTGGACAGTGGCATTTATCCACCATTTTATAATATGTTACACTCCTAACAAGATTCTGATATTTGTACGGATCTGCGTCAAAAGAATGCCTGCAAATTGTTTCTTCTTCAGATGGTC